AATCTGACAAATTTTCTGGGCAATCACATAGCAGATAATATTCAGAGAATGTAAAAAGTTGTTTTTTCCCTTTTCTTGAATACTGCTAGTGATCATATGACTATGACACATCTGCACAGCATCAGTATTTCTCACTTCACCTCTTGCACTAAGGTAACACGACCTGGTCGTGATATTACTGGCATTGTAAACCTCTCTAATGAAGTCTTTTATATCCATGGTGGGGTGCATAAGTAGCAGAAGTTAACAGAGATTTTTATGGGAAATTATTACAGAAACATTTAAGACAGTTGTACAAGTTTTTATGAATGGCCATCTTTAACCTTGCAGATGTAGCTGCCATTTGAAACAATTTTAGAGCAGAAGGCTTTATCAGTCATATAGCTGAGCTCACACAGATATCACAACAGCTTTATACGTGAGTAATATCACATGTTATATCAAGAAACTGTTTTATGGACATTTTACAGGCACCTTGAATTTTGGTTTTGATGTTGGATTTTTTGGGTTTTTTCCAGTGCAAGAGATCTAGACAGTTTATATTTGATAGGCTGTTCATAAATTATACCCTACTGCTGTTTGCAGGTTGGAACTTCTTCCCACACAGATTTCATTTTATCATCAGACTGTTTAATTCTGCGCTTATAAAAATGTCATCCTAGTCATAAGGGAAGAATTAGACAGCACTGTCTTAAGATTTTCTGCACATACCGTGACAAGATGCAGATCCTGTGATACTAATATGCCAGTAGAGTATATCAGTTCCAGGATCAGGCCAATACACATGCTGTTATTGAGCTATGGCTTGCTGCTTTCAAAAGTGCAATGAAATAATAAAATAATATAAGTTAGTAATACATTAACTACATTACAGTATTCGCACTGCTACCTCTTGATATCATAGCCTGGAATACACTAACATACTGATAATATCCTAAGAGAACATTAAAAATTACTTTGGAGCAAAAGCAGTACCAGCTTTTATATTATCTCCCAAAATAACATTCTGACTATGTGAAAAAAGTTATCAGGAGATTCTAACCCTTCTCAGGTTGTGGATTCCACAATCTTTTCTAAAAGACAGTGAATTTCCCCTTGGGACACACTTACAATCAAGTTTTGTGAGAACACATTATAGATTTTTTTTCCAAGTATTTTATCCAACTTGATGAATGATATACAAAAAATATCTCTATATGGAGTCAGGCAAAGATAATTTAATCACATATAATATTTGAATACATATGTTATTGTATTTTAATTTGTACAATAATTTGTAAGTTAAATAGTTTAAATTTTTTTCACTAGTGTAGTTTATGAAATTACTGCTGATGTATAAAACATTCTGTTCTATGTAGATAAAAAAATGTACATTTAAAATGTATATAGAGTACCAGCTAATGAGCTAAACATATGGGGTTGTGTATTTAACTTCATTGGAAAGTACTGAAATAAAGTAACTAACAGCATTTGTGTAAACGAAAATAAATCTCATAAAAATCTGAATGGATTTTCCTTTGTTAGACAGAAATTTGTGCTTGGCATATAACTGCATATTATAGCCAACGGCTGAGGTTTGCTGACATGTTCTGTCAATAGCTATGTCTCAGCTGTTAAAAAACAGTAAGTTTATACATTTGTCTCAATACTAGAACAAGGGTTTCTGCACAGATACCAATGGACAGAACTGAAAAAACAAAAAAAAAAAAAAAAAGAATCTCAGTACTCCAAGAAATACAATTTTCCCAAAAGTGTTTCTTTAAAAAAACCCTAAACAAATTAAAGTGGAACTTAATCACAGTACTGATCCTTTACATAAGCCCTGCAACCTGACAGAAGCAGACACTCATGTCTGGCTCCATCCATGGAGCCTTTGTGGGACTACTTTTGTCTTCAAAAACTCAGTTATGCAGATCCAATGGCAAGCTGAAGGCTTGAATCTATTTCATCATAAATAATGCTGGTTTGAAAGGCAGCTATCATTAAAATGCCAGGCAAATGCAGAGGAAGTACTTATTTTAATAAAACCTATCTATTTCTCTGTTAGATCCATTTAAGAGCCTTCAAAATAAGAAATATTTCCACTGGTGCTTACTTTTCAATGCTTGCACCATTCATTTAATATCTATTAACATGCTAGCTAAGTTTGGACAGGAAAGCTGGATGCTTCATTCCACAGTTAGGGTAACAGCAGTATCTTCATTTATTAAAGACATTACTCCAGTATTAATATTTCTTACTTAACTTCTGTTATTTCACAGAGAAAGATGTATTTTATATTAGAGCCAAAATTAAATCAAACTTAATCCCAAATTATGCTAAACACTTAAAGGAGTTTTGATAGATTAAGGCCCACTCCATCAAGCTGCTCCATTCAGACAGGTCTCCATTTGTAAGAGCCCACACAGCAATCCTCATCGAAGGAAGACACTACAGAGATTCCAGGCGCAAAAAAAATCACAAATGTCTTGCAGCAGACACAAAAACCAAACCCACCATGTTTCTCCCCAAATTATTAGAGTACAACAAACACTTCCTCCCCATTAGTACATTTTTAAATGTTTAACCTGAATCATATAGTAACAACCCATACCCTGAGCTCCACTATTTGCAAACCTATATTACTGAACCTGTGGTGCAAAGAACATATGTAGAAGTGAGCTAAACTCTTTAAGATGAACCATCACCATATTTAACTATTATTAGCATTCTCAGAGTTCAACTCTAATATTACTGGTAGACAGAAATTCTCAGATGGAACCAACCTCAATGTTTTTACACCAATTGTCTTTAGAACACCCCCACATTCCACAGTGCTTTAAATCCTCATACAAATAAACTTGTACACACTGAACTCAGGGGAAAACCACCTTTTGAAAAACTTCATAACAATATTTCCAAAGTGTACGCTCCTTCAGGTGAACAATTCAGCCTGCGATATAACTTTTCACATTCTGAATAATTCTCCTCCCTTTTTTTTTTTTAATCATTGTGGTTCTTCAAGCTACTTACCCACTTAATAGTTTGATTTCATGATCCATTATATTAGGGATTTTTCCATAAATGGAATATGTTTGCAATACAGTAGACTTGAAACACACATGGACAAGACAGACAGTAACAGAAGCATAGATTACATACACATCTGTTCTCTCAGGTCTCAGCCTGAGGATCAAAGACAGAAGTACACATGCACACAGCAGTCTAAATGCAAGAGATCATCCTCATCTTTTTCAGCTTGCTTCATTTATATCAGCTACTGACTAAGTACAGGTGTACTTGGGGAAGAGGGACATGCAGACATCCAGAAAAAAACTACAAAGAAAACGCTTTTGGAAACTAAACACACACATACACTCAGTTGCATATTCGTGACGAAAGGCCATTACAACAGTTTTCAACTGAAAATTAATTCTGTTTTCCTAAATTACTGTAACAAGAGCAGGCTTTGCTGGTCTCTCCTATGAATGTGTCTGTACCCTGTACCAAGAGACTGCAGATCCCACGAGATCCACAGGAAAGCAGGCCTCACATGCTCCAGAGCTTCCGGTGCAGCCAAAACTCCTGCAGATGACAGCTGTCACTGGACAATGCACAAACCCAACACTGGAAGTGAACACTGAAAAACTAACATTGCCTGAAGGTATGCAAACTTTTCACACAGCAGGATAGATTTCAAGTCTCAATCAGACTACTGGTTTATCTAGACTTATTTTGAGAATAGGGTAAGAACACCTGCAAAAATTGATGCAGGGTAGTACTGTTTTTCTACTTCTTCCCTTCACAAGGCATATCCACCAAACTCATGGAGAATGGCTACTAAATTTATACAACTTACAACAATGAAATTGGATATGGGCACTCCAAAATGTTGAAGCAAGATGGGTAGGGCCCAGGTTCCTAGCAAGCTTGTAAAGTACCACTGACATTTGCAAATAAGCACAGAAATAAAACAGAGAAACTGAGATCCTATTCAACAGAAAAAACACAGTCCTCTGTCATTTGTCCCATCCAGTGGCAAAGATGCTGCTCATCAGGACTAAAACATCCCTCCCATTTACAACTTCTTGGACCAGAATGTCACGTGTATGCAGACAGAGATAGGTCATGCTCCAAGCAGACTTTCAAAGCAAGACCAAAGTTGTGATCACCAGATTCCACATAAATACTTTTTTTTAATCATTCTGCAAAATCTCTCACAGCTGCCCTAAACAGTTTACAAAAACAAAGTGATCAGAGAGATGATTTATGTTTGCAACATTGTCTTCCCTTTCCATGGCCCAGCTTAATGCAGACGTTGCTGCACTCACCCCAGCTGAGGTTTGGCAGGAATCGGGGGAGGAATGATGTTGATGAGTGAAAGTGTTTGAAGCCCAACTAATTTCTCTTCAACTCCTACTGGACCCCCTGCTCTCCCAAGCCACTTCCAGCCTGGCACTTGTTAGCAGCTCCCGACGCTGGGGAAAAGAGGTGCCTTGCAAAAGCTTCCTCCGAGCAGCTGAGAGGAGACTCTGAGAAGGTTATGCAGAAATAAAACCAAACGAAATGACTGTTCGCAGGTCGGCACGCTTCACCTATCTTACACCGGGAACAATGGAGAGGCGGGCAGCGAGAGGATACGGCCCGGGAGGACGGGGCCGGAGGGACGCGCTGTCCGTCCGTCCGTCAGCTCTTTGTCCGTCTGTCAGGCAGCCCCGCCGGCCCAATCCCCGGCGCGGCCTGCGCGGCCCCGCGGCTCCCGGCCGGGGGAACGGACGGAGCGGGAGCAGCGGGAGCAGCGGGAGCAGCGGGCGGAGGGCGCCCGCCGCCTCTTCATCCCCCGCTCCCCGCCGGCCTCTCCGCGCCGGGGCCAAGCGCGGCCCATGCGGGACGCGCCGCGCCGCGGCCCCCCCCTTCCCTTCCTTCCCTTCCTTCCCCTCCCTGTCCTCCTCCTCCTCCCTCCTTCCCTCCGCGCACCGAACGGCCCCGACCGGCCCCGGCTCGCTCCCGCCGGCACTTACCGGCCGCAGAGCTGCGAGGAGAAGGCGGCCGGGCCGGGCCGGGCCGGGGCGCGGCGGCGGCGGCTCAGAGCGGCCGTGCCGCGGCCCCGGGCATGGCGGGGGCGGCGGGGCGCGGGCAGTGGGGGCCGCGGGGCGGCGGCGGCGGCGGGGGGAGCCCGGGGGGAGAGGCGGCGGCGGCGGCGGCTCCTTCCTGCTGCTCCGCCGAGCGTCCGCGGGCGGTGACAGCGACACCCGGCCAGAGCGCCGCGCGCGCGCTGCACCACGGGAAACGCGCCCGGAGGACCGGCGGGACGGGAGGAGGAGGAGGAGGAGGATGGGGATGGGGATGACGGCGATCGGGAAGCGAGACGGGAGCCGGGAGCCCCGCCGGGGCTGCGGCTGCTGCCGGGGCGGGCGGTGCCGGGTTACGCGCGGGTCAGGAGGCCGCCGCGGCCGTGGGAGCGCTGCCCGTGCCGGCCCCGAGCGGAGGCGGGGCGGGAGAGACCCTTCGGGCATCGGCCTCGGCGGGGGCTGGACCCCGAGCCCCTCGGTGTCGTGCCGGCGGCTTAATGCCCAGCAGGGCCTCCCGGAGGAGAGAAGGCCGGAGCGGCCGCGGTCGGTGTCAGGGAGAAGGCTTAACTATCGCAGAATTGTTGTGGTTGAAAGGGACCTCTGGAGATGATCCCGTCCAACGCCCCTGCCCAGGCAGGGGACGCAGGAACAGGTGACACAGGAACGCCTCCAGGTGGGTTTGGAATGTCTCCAAAGAGGGAGATTCCACGACCTCCCTGAGCAGCGTGTTCCAGGGCTCAGCCACCCTCAATGTAAAGAAGTAAAGCCTGATGTGGTTCCCCACTCCTGACACATCTCTGGGGTGAGGCCCCGCTGCAGACTGCCAGAGCCATTACTTAGAGGTGGTGTCCCTTGGACTCTCAGGGCCTCCAAGTCCATCTGAAAGTCCCAACATGAGTTTTCTGCACTGTAATCTCCATGATTATGATGTTTCACCATGGCCCTGCACAGTAAACTATTTGGAGAATCGCTAGAGGCCAGATATCAAAACCCAGTGCCCTCCTTGGACTAGCTCTCCACCAAACTGGCTGTACCTCTGCAGCCTGGGCTGCGGCATGGCGTCACTTGCACCTCTCAACTTCCCCTCTTTCAGGGGTTACCAACTTTTCCACGTTTCTCTCACTAAAGTCTTTCACCCAGCAACGCGCTTAAACACGTGTGTACCTCAATTGCTCTATGTCATTTGCGTATAATTAAGCATGTGCTTAAGTGCTCTGCTGGATTGAAGCCAAGATCTGCATAAGCTCTGTTGGGTAAAATTTACCAGCTTCGCTGGGCTTAGCTCTGTGAGTCATTCAATCAGCAGAAGCCCAAAGCTTTTTGGTACAAGCTTAGTTATTCCCAGGCTGCCCTACAGGATCACCCTGTCTCTGTGACAGGGCTTATGCCCTTCACTCAGGTCCTGTTAGGAGTGAGACGCATCTGCCTGGTGAGTCAGCTGAACGTAGGGTTTCGAGTTCCTTCAGCAAGGTGCATTAATAAGGTTCTGCACCTTCACGCCGGGCAGAGGTTGTGCCATCAAGTTACAGGGCAAGAAATTGCATTAAGAAGAGAGTATGAATGACTCCAGGAGCGTGATGAAGGTGTGCCCTGACTTGGTGCAATATGTACATTTCTAAATGATGGTGTCGAGTACTCAATCTCTATGAACAGAGGAAGGGGTTAATAAAATGTAGCCACATTCCATGTGGTCCTCTACGATTTTACATAAATACAAGAAGTGTCATTAACCTGCTTATTGAATAAAATGGGAAATGTTTTCATCTCCAAAACCAGAGTTTTAGAAACTGAGGGAAGATGTACATTTATTCAGCTTTGATTTTATTTTTCCTTCAAAGACAATTAATTTGGTGACTCTAGTCATTTTTCCCTGTCAAAAAAAAATATCTTTTGAATTGCATTAAGACTGAGTCAGGAAGCTCAGCACTAAAACCTTATTTTAAAACACACTGAGGAATTGAATCTTTCTGCAGGGTGAGCACAAGTCTTTCTCCAAGGACACATCAATTGGAACCTGCTTTTCAAAATATCTGTTTGGCAATTAACAGTGTAATACAAAGAAGAAAGACTGTCTTGTATTTAATGAAAAAAAGTAAGACTCAGCATATTTGGGTGCTGTTCATTACTCTTCATTGCTCTCTTATCATTCTGCTATGACCTTAATCAAGACATGTTCCAATTTTCAAGCGACAGTTTGGGTTAGGGTGCAGGGTTTTGTGTTGTTTTAAGAGGAATTAAGAACCTATAAATTGTCAAGTTCAGTGAGAATCTTGCAGTGCTGTGTTCATCTGGAAGTGCCCCGCACCAGGGTAGAGGTGGTGAAAGGACAAATCAGACCTTGGACCTCTCCCTCACATATTTTCAAATTATGGCAGTTCCTCACCAATCAGCCAGCTGTAGCACTGATGTTCATATTGGACACAAATTTAATACTGTGCTGTTTACTTATTAATATTAGTGTTTTGACATAGCAAATTAGAAAAGAAATATATAAACTCAGTAGCTTGAGAAGCTTAAAGGAGCATTTGCATTTTGACCTATATTTTTTTTTCTTTACACTGCTCTGTAAATAGCAGGAAAACTCTGCTTTTCCCTAGGTATAATAATTAATAGTCTTTAATATAGTCTTTCCTCTCCCTTCTGAATTCCAAAGGTTTCCCACCCGTGAGAAAACCTCTGAAAGGCAATGTGTATGCAGCATGGAGCACAGTAACTTTCAGTTTTAAGAGGGCTAAATACTGGAAAGTAAAAAGTACTTCACGCTCCTTTCTTTTCTCTTCTCTTCTCTTCTCTTCTCTTCTCTTCTCTTCTCTTCTCTTCTCTTCTCTTCTCTTCTCTTCTCTTCTCTTCTCTTCTCTTCTCTTCTCTGTATAAATCTAAAAACAAAATAATTTAGGAAGCACAGGTAGTTTATGTATTAAAAAGTGGCTTTGGGGAATCATTGGGGAATACATGTGTTTTAAAAGGTCTTAACCAGGAAGTGGCTTCAGAAGTAACTGCACATATCAAGCAGAACCGACACATTTGACCTCCTGCATGAAAAACGAAAGGATTTCATTCAGAAATTTATTCATTGAGCCAGTAACTTCTGCTGAAGCAGGTGTTGACCTGGAAAGATCAAGTCTGGGAATTTGAGAGAGAAGTCCACAGTTATGTAGGCTTTTAAGATGGCCTCATAGCCTAGCTCTCAAATTTATGCCTTTGTATTTGTCTGCATTCATCAAGCCTGAGCTTCTAATTATTCATTTCAGCTATCAGGTTTAAGGACTGTGTATCAAGATTTTTAACTCTATTCTCCAGGTCTTGCTTTATCCTTGTAACTCTTTATAATTCCCCTTCCAGTTTTTCAAAAATTATTTTTGTTTGTTTGAAAATACTGTTAGGGTGGGCCTACAGCTCAATAATTTAGACCACAGACAGGTAAATCAACAAACATCAAGTGCAGCCTCTTCTCACCCACCCACACCACTGTTTTTCTGTGCCTTTGTAGTGATGTGTGACCTGTCCTACTGATTCTGTGGCAGGCTGAAGTTCCCTGCTGCTTCTCTGTCTTTTGTCATGTAAAACAAGGATGCAGCATGTCCATCTTCTCCCCTTCCCCCTGCAGATGTCACAACTCACCCTTAACAGTCTCATTCCTTCCAACACATATGGATGGCTTCTCTTGAGCAAAAAAAATAAAGATCTGTTGGACTATTTATGTCTGTGGCTACAGGATCAGACCAAAGGAAATGTGAAAAACAACCTGTGCTTCAGCAATCAGTATTTTTACTGAGTATTTTATATTGTTGTTAAGTCTTGAAAAAACAGACTGAAGATGATCCGTGAAGAGTTTGTGTCAGTAGTTTACATGTGGAGAGCACTGCTTGAAAAACATTTATGTTCTCAAAATAAGGTATTTGCAAACAGAGTGTTCAAATCCAAGGTAAATCCAAGAGAAAGTGTGAGGTGTTAGGGTATGGAAATACACAATTCATTCTCCCAAGCAATGCTAAACCTACCTTTTCTGTACTTGTGGGATCATCAAACAGTTGAGAAGTTAATAACTTTGGTGGAAGATGAGAGTAACTGGACTTTCAGAGGTTACAGGTGTGTTTTCTGCAGCCCACTCCCATTATTCTTCAGTTTCCCTCCTCCCCTCCTTCCTTATCCACAAAGGTCACTGGTTGGTAGCCAGTATGTGCCAGTGATAGAATGTATGGTGCTTTAGAAATGCCTTGGTGAATGCCTGACATTTCAGCAGTGGATTCAATCAGGGAACAGTTGCTACTTAAAGCTAGAAAATCATCCTCCATCCATTTTTTCAATTGGAATATTTCACCAGGGCTTTAACTAGCATGCATATTCAATGCAGAAATGTAATGAGTCCATTGTCTGAGCATCCACTCACGTTGTCTGTAAATTGCTCCTCTTCATTTCAGCATCCCTGGTGGAATTTGTGTTTTAATTATTTAATGTTTTTTATAGAAAGCTTTCAATTCATGATCCCACGTAAGCCTGACTCAATAGTCTGCCTTGGCCTATAGTGCTGGCAGATCAGGAATCAATCACAATGCTACAGAGTGGCACAGTGTGCTCATCCTGACATTACTAATGCATGCAAATATGGCATGCAATGGCTCAAAACACCTGGGCATCTGATGTTTGCAAACAAAAATAATTAATTACAGTGTGCATGCAAGTCACCCAGCTCTTTTCCTTATTCCCAAAATCTTTTCTGTTCCCAAAACTGTTTGCAGGAGAGCACTGTTCCACTTCCACCTGAGCCCTGAAGAATTCTTCATATCAGACTCATTTCTAATGCCACAAACATGCCTGACCTGACTCAGTCATTTATTTTACAATAATAGAGCAGCCTGAAGTGCTTTAAAACTTGAGGTCAGGACAGCACAAAAATCCCAGAAAAAAAATTAAAAGTTTGATGAGAGATATACCTGTCTGAAAAAAGAAAGATAGCAAGGCAGCATCAGTCAGGGTGGGTTTGTGTAGACA